GATCACCACCCTCACCCCCACTGCCAGCCTCAGAGCAGTGAGCTCCATTTAACAAAAGGGCCTGTGTCTCATGCAAACAGGACTCCTGGTGGTGGTTCTGAAACCGCAAAATCTCAGGGGCAAAAAAACCTTCTTTAGAATGTTGCTCAGAAAGCCATGTCCAAGCTCAATTCCATAGCAACATAAGGAAAACAGGTTGACAGCCTTACTCTTTATACCCAGCTCTGGAAGACTCTTAGCCATTTCCAGATTGCATGTTATTCCTCAGTGAACAAAAAGACACCCAACAAAGACAGCGAACAGACTGACTGCCTAAAAGCACGACTCAAAACACTGACCAATGAGGATGTCACAGAAACGAGGACATAGTGATGCAAAGCGTCCCCTTCTGAGTAGCACTCAGCCAGATGTACAAGTTCTGGTGTATTCGTTTCAAAGTGTTCATTCTACTGCCTGTTGTCACACCCCCATAAAACAAAGTTCCAGTAAACTCACAAAACTCTTCATTGAATAGAGACTGGGAAACACAGTCCTGACGAGGAGCATTAGGGGATTGTTGAAAACCAGGGGCCTGTGTGAGTCTCCCTAAATGCCTTCTTGGTTTTACAGGGGGAGCCATTTTCACAGCTCCTACCTGGTGATTCTGATGCTTTCCTGATGTTAGAAATGATGAGCATTTCTGGAGCGTCAGGTGTGAACCAAGTGTTCTAAATTCCACACGGGACACAATTGCTATCCCAGGAGTTAATCTTAAAGTTCTGGAAGCATCTGCTACCACAGAGGCAGTGAGCAGTGGAGAAGCAGCAAACAAACCTGGACTGAGACTCTGTCTCCACCACTTATTGGGACCTTTGGGAAATCACTTCTCTCAGTCACCTCCTCTGTGAGATGGAGATGACAGTATCAACTTCTGCAAGATGGTCGTGCAGAACATCGGATACAAAGAATTAGGAAAAGAGGCTTTTCTGAGATCCAACTGTGTGCTGGTCACAGGGTAGGTTCTGCTAGGAAGTCGACCTTTTATTTGAATTTCCCAGCTCAGTGTCTAGCACATCATGTGTGGTCAAAGTTAATTAGCTTTTCCTCCTTCTGAAAGGCATCTTGGCTGATAAGCTTGGACCTTTTCCTTGCAAGGGTGTGACCTATCCTTTCTGACCTAACTTCCTCCAATTTTGTGATTCCCATAAATCCATCTAAAGCGTTTTTCAAAGGAAACATCCCATAAAAATCAATCCTGTTCATACGTGTGAATTAGCCTCAGGCCTCTGGAAGCTTCTGCTGTCCTTCTTATTCACACACTGTCTGTTCCCACTGTCCTTTCTGCCCTCTGAGGGATGCTCAGTGGATTATGAATTTTTATCTCTTGGGGCCCCTTCCATCCCAAATTCCACCCCAGCTCTAAGTGGAAAACAGTGCACCCCATATGCCCGTGGTAAGGACTGAGGTCTGTCCATGAAGTCGGAGAATAATTTCATAAGGGTAGTAAGAAGAAGGAAGCCCTCCTGAACCCTGTGTTTCAGGGTCATCTGAGGCAGAGAAATGAATGGCTTCCAGGAAGAGCCTGAGGAATGAGTGCATTGGAGTTGGTGGTAGGAGACAGATTCAGGGAGGCAGCCATGACCCCAGTGGTCAAGGAGTGTTTAGACCAAGTATTGGCAACCTATTGGCCCATGGGCCAAACTCTGCCCACTATCTATTTTTATAAATAAAGTTTTATTGGGATATAGCCATGGCCATTTGTTTATTCCGTATGGAAGCTTTCATACCATAGAATTGAATAGTTATGACAAAGACTGTATGGCCCAGAAAGCCAAAAGTATTTATTGTCTGCTTTTACAGAACAAGTTTACCAGCCGCTAGTTTAAAACATGTCAGGGCCAGGAAAACTGCACAAATTTGCTAAGGGGGCCAGGATCCTCCTCCCATGTTAATGACTGACCCCTCCTGCCAGTTGTCACCACAACAGAGCCCCTCACTGACTTCTCTTGGGAAGGATCTTTGGGA